GGGGCCCACACTTTCCTTGACTTTCTTCTTGTTGCTAACATACCTGAAGAAACCCTTCATGTTACTCTTAACATCTCTTGCTAGCTGCAACTCCAAGTGTGATTTGGCTTTCCTGATTTCACTCCTGCATGCCTGACCAATATTTTTATACTCCTCCTTGGTCATTTGTCCAATCTTCCACTTCTTGTAAGCTTCTTTTTTGCGTTTAAGATCAGCAAGGATTTCACTGTTAAGCCAAGCTGGTCGCCTGCCATATTTACTGTTCTTTCTACACGTCGGGATGGTTTTTTCCTGCAACCTCAATAAGGATTCTTTAAAATACAGCCAGCTCTCCTGGACTCCTTTCCCCCTCATGTTATTCTCCCAGGGGATCCTGCCCATCAGTTCCCTGAGGGAGTCAAAGTCTGCTTTTCTGAAGTCCAGGGTCCGTATTTTGCTGCTCTCCTTTCTTCCTTGTGTCAGGATCCTGAACTTGACCATCTCATGGTCACTGCCTCCCAGGTTCCCATCCACTTTTGCTTCCCCTACTAATTCTTCATGGTTTGTGAGCAGCAGGTCTAGAAGAGCTCTGCCCCTAGTTGGTTCCTCCAGCACTTGCACCAGGAAATTGTCCCCTCCACTTTCCAAAAAGTTCCTGGATTGTCTGTGCACCGCTGTATTGCTCTCCCAGCAGATATCAGGGTGATTAAAGTCTCCCATGAGAACCAGGGCCTGCGATCTAGTAACTTCTGCTAGTTACCAGAAGAAATCCTCGTCCACTTCATCCCCCTGGTCTGGTGGTCTATAGCAGACTCTGACCACAACATCACTCTTGTTGCTCACACTTCTCAACTTTATCCAGAGACTCTCAGGTTTTTCTGCAGTTTCATACCGGAGCTCTGAGCAGTCATACTCCTCTCTTACATACAACGCAACTCCCCAACCTTTTCTGCCCTGCCTGTCCTTCCTGAACAGTTTGTATCCATCCATGACAGTACTCCTGTCATGTGAGTTATCCCACCAAGTCTCTGTTATTCCAGTCACATCATAATTCCTTGACTGTGCCAGGACTTCCAGTTCTCGCTGCTTGTTTCTCAGGCATCTTGCATTTGTGTGTAGGCACTTAAGATAACTTGCTGATTGTCCCGCTTTCTCAGTCTGAGACAGGAGTCCTCCCCTCTTGCACTCTCCTGCTCGTGCCTCCTCCCGGTATCCCATTTCCCCACTTACCTCAGGGCTTTGGTCTCCTTCCCCCGGTGAACCTAGTTTAAAGCCCTCCTCACTAAGTTAGCCAGCCTGCTTGCGAAGATGCTCTTCCCTCTCTTCGTTAGGTGGAGCCCGTCTCTGCCTAGCACTCCTCCTTCTTGGAACACCATCCCATGGTCGAAGAATCCAAAGCCTTCTCTCCAACACCACCTGCGTAGCCATTTGTTGACTTCCACAATTCGACGGTCTCTACCCAGGCCTTTTCCCTGCACAGGGAGGATGGACGAGAACATCACTTGCGCCTCAAACTCCTTTATCCTTCTTCCCAGAGCCACGTAGTCTGCAGTGATCCGCTCAGACCCCAAGAACATTTGGAAAAGGGTACATTTCTCTATACTTCCTCCTACAAAGACACTGATCAGAGAGGCATCAGGCACAGGTTGGGGCACATACTTGGACCACTTCCAGATACAAGGAACTTGATCCCCAAAAGACTTGACTCTGTACATCAGCATTCTAGAATTATGAGCAATCAGACTAATTTGCACATCATTCCAACCTGTTCCACGTTCTACTGTGCAGATTTTCACAGACAACATTTTTGCAAATGTTTTATATAAACAAGGAAGGAAGGGAGCACCTGCTCATTACCTCATGTCAGGAGGCTATCAAGATATGGACATTATGTCAAAATAGGATACAGTAACTCCTCGCTTAACGTTGTAGTTATGTTCCTGAAAAATGCTACTTTAAGCAAAACGATGTTAAGCGAATCCAATTTCCTCATAAGAATTAATATAAATGGAGGGGGTTAGGTTCCAGGGAAATTTTTTTTGCCAGACAAAAGACTATATATATATATATATATATACACGCACACATATATACACAGTATAAGTTTTAAATAAACAATTTAATACTGTACACAGCAATGATGATTGTGAAGCTTGGTTGAGGTGGTGAAGTCAGAGGGTGGAAGAGGGTGGGATATTTCCCAGGGAATGCCTTACTGCTAAATGATGAACTAGCACTCGGCTGAGCCCTCAAGGGTTAACACATTGTTGTTAATATAGCCTCACACTCTACAAGGCAGCACGAATAGAGGGAGGGGAGACAGCATGGCAGACAGAGACACACACGATGTGTGAGAGAGAGAGACGCGCATTGCCCCTTTAAGTACGTTGACCCCACTGTAAGTACATTGCCTTTTTAAGTAGATTAGCAAATTGAGAGAGCAGGAGCAGCACATGGCAGTGGGGAGAGGGACAGCTGAACTGCCCAGCAATTGATAGCCTGCTGGGCGGCTGCCGCACAGGGAACTTAGGAGAGCGGGGAGCTGATGGCGGGCTGCCGGTCCACCTTGGTTCCAAGCCCCCTTCAGCTAGCTCCAACGGGCTACTCTTCCTGAAAGCAGTGGACAAAGCAGGCAGCTGCCAAACAACGTTATAAGGGAGCATTGCGCAACTTTAAACAAGCATGTTCCCTAATTGATCAGCAACGAAACAATGTTAACCGGGATGACTTTAAGTGAGGAGTTACTGTAACTCCAATAGCACTTCATCTCCAGGAGTCTCAACAGTTTAGCGGACTTCCTAAGCAGACAATCCATCAAGAGCCACAAGACGTCTCTGAAGAGCTCCATCATTACATCAGTATTTCACCTAAGGGAAAAAACCTATTATTGACTTGTTTACCTCCAGAGACAACGAAGTGTCCAGTCGTTTGATTCGAGGGGCATGAACCCAGCTTCCTTTCTCATATTTGATTCAAGGGGCATGAACCCAAGAGGCCTTTCTCATATTGTAGGAGTGAGGTCTCGTATGCATTTCCATCGATTCTCAGGGTGATGAGCAAAAATAGGCAGGAGGCAGTCATGCTAATCTTGATAGCTCCATGTTGGCCGAGGCCGTTCTGATTAACAGATCTCAGGATGTCTGTTAGGCTCCGGTACCACTTCCAGACTCTCCAGATATAATATCACAGAATCAAGGCCAAATTCATCTAGACAGTTGCCACATCTGACAGTCTGGAAGTTGGCAGGTTGAGTGCTACTGACAGATACCTCTGTATAAGTACAAGAGCTCCTACTCATCTCATGGTATCCAGATTTTTAAAGGGATGACTACATACTTACCTATCTGTTAGAGAATCCCTAGTGATGTGGGATCTTAATGTTGTCCTTACAAACCTCATGGAGAGAGATCCCCCTTTTAATCTCTCTTGGAGTGCTTTTTACACCACCTTATTTTGAAGACCGCCTTTTTGATTAGGAGAATTCAGTCCCATCGTGCAAGTTTGGGAATTCAGTATCCCAGAAGCAAATGCAAAAGAACCATCCCACAGATCATCTTGCTTTTTCTGAAGAAGGGCAGCAATTTCTGCTCTGTGGACCTGACTGAGGTTATTGGCTCATAGAGATGCTTCCCAAATACTGGAGCCCCTGAGTTATGCTATGGGAACAATACTACCAATCTTATTTTTTGCCCTTTGGACTAGAATTTTTGCTGAATCATCCAAGCAGATCTGCCCAACCAAGGAGCACATGTTTTCTCCTGTCAGGCTGATGTCTATTCTCTGATGTCACTTTAGTGCATCAGTATTGAATGTTGAGTTCTTAAGGTTCATGATGAACTTTCCTAACTATCAACTTCTCTCCAGCTGACAATTGGAGTACAGTGGAGCCCCACCAGAAATGAAAGTATTTGGAGATTAGGGGAAATGAATAACCATCAGTAGAAATGGTTGACTTTCATCCATGGCTAATAACATTGCCCTTAGGAGCCGGAAAAAACCTTGAGAGCTTAGAGTTTCAGCTGTCTTGTACTAGGAAGTTGAGCTTTGGTGGCTGGTCACTATTGGAGCCAGGATACTAGACTAGATGGACCATGGGTCTGATCCAGTATAGCAATTTCCATGTTTCTGGGACCCAGAAATGAGAATCATACAAGCTGATACAATTAGGAGTCCATATATCCCATTTTGGCTGGGACAGTCCCCTTTTTAAGCCCTCTTCCAAGCGTCATGATTTTTTTGGCAGGACTGGGCTTTTGTCTCATTTGCATTTGCCAACTGATCATCAGTTGGCAAGAACAAACAGGACAAATATCCAGTTTTACTAAAAAAGTGGAGCATGCACCCCTAGTGGGGTATGGGGTGTGGAGGAATGTTCGGGAGGGGAGGGGAGAGGAAGCGTTAACGCCAGTCCCGCAGGGCTTGGGCGAGCAGTGACGCCATGCAGCTTGGGTCAGCCACGCACTTGGGATGGAGGGGACCCTAAGGCCAGCTCTCCGTGGGGAAAGGGGCTTGTGCAAGCTCTGCATGGGGAAAGGGGCTTGAGTAAGCCCCATGCAGTGTCCTGTTTTCCCTTTGGGAAATATAGTCACCCTAGATATAATCAAAGAAGGAGAACTATTTTTGAAAGCTTCTGTCTGGAATTAATTATTCCCATTTGCAAAAATGGGGAATCTGAGAAATTAGAGGACTTGCCCAAGGCTTCACAGCAAGTTAATGACAAAGATCCAGATGGAGACTTATCTGGCTCTTAGCCCCATGTTCAATTTTCTAGACCTGCTTGGCACCTACAGTCTCATAGAAGGCATCAGACTTAAGCCAACCTTGTCTCTTTCACCAAATGCACTGTAAGTGTCTGGTTTGTTATTTCTTTCTCCTACATCTGTAGAATTCTGACTGTTTGCATAGGGTTGTGCATGGGTAGAATTTCACAGGGAGAAGCTGCTGTTTGTGTTGTTTTGTTTGAATAAAGTCACAAGAGGGTCAACATTTTTTTTCCTTGTGTGTGATTTATTTTTCTACAGGCTGGCCTGGCAGGCCCCCTGCAGAAGGAGGAGTTGCAGTCTGGGGTGGATGCTGCTAACAGTGCAGCACAACAGTACCAGCGAAGTAAGGAGCCTTTCAGCAGAGCTTATAGCTGAGGAATTGGTGGAGGTGATCAGAGGGTTGAGGCAATGTATCATTTATACCCTTGTTGTAACACCAACATCAGCTCTTGCGGTTCTTTGTGACTTCCCTGTAAACACCTCAGGGCTAGTGAGAAGCTTGCAGAAAGCCAGCATCTGTGATTCTTTTCAGTCTCCCCAGAATAGCACTTATAACCCAGGTTATAATATAGGTTATTCTTTAACCTATGCATTTTAAAAATACACTTAGGAAACTTGTCCACTGTAAGTGACTTCTGTACTTCAAAGCTTATACCTATCTCTGGGTCCTGGGTCTGTGAAGGAAATCCTGGTAGCTCCATGGGGCAGAGTCAGAGGTTACCTGGAGATCCTCATTGTGGATGCAATAACTATGGTTCCTTGCAACTCTGGCCGCTTTCAAGTATCAGATTAGGAGACAGTTAATTGCAGGTGTAAACCCTAATCCTCTAACTACTTGATTTGCACTTGCTAAAGAGATGTTGCCCTTCTGAAAATTTACTCTGAAACTAGGTTAGTTTATTTTATTTTCCTGATACAAAGGCTGTTGCTGGAATTGACCGATATAAAATGATTGAAAACTACCTTAGAATAATGGATTTCAAGGTCAGAAGAGACCACTGAGATCAGTCTGACCTCCTGTATAACGCAGGCCAGATAATTTCACCCAGTAATTCATGCAGTGGAGGGAATGTATTCTTGCCATTTCACCTAGGTGCCCACAGAGCAAAAGCCCTTTCCACAGTGGGTGGGTAGAAATGCCCTTATAACAGAGGTACAAGCTCTCTGCCCTCCTAACCTCTTGTGCCCTCTTTCCCTTTAATCTCCAGGGCTGGGAGCAGTTGCAAGGATTAATTCTGCAATCCAAATGGGTATTGCAGAGAAGACTGTGGCAGAACTTTTGAATCCAGAGGCTCAGTTACCACAGGTTTATCCATTTGCAGCAGATCTTTACCAGAGGGAGCTGGCAACTCTGCAGCAACAGAGCCCTGAAGTAAGTAATAGATTCTTTCCTGTTCTTGGAAAACAATCTGACGATTCCCAGCAGTATCCATCATGCTTAGCTCTTCATTCCACACCTCCTCCAGAATGTAGCTGTTTTGTGAATTCTTGAAACTATGTTGCAATTCAAAGTTTGTGTAATTTACTATTTAATTGATGAATTAAACAATAATAAATCACCAGGATCACCCAAGAGTTCTGAAGGAACTCAGATATGAAATTGCAGATCTACTAACTGTGGTACGTACTCTAACTCTTAAGTCAGCTGCTGTACTAGATGACTGGAGGATAGCTAATGTGATGCCAATTTTTAAAACAGGCTTCAGAGGCGATCCTGGCAGTTACAGGCCAGTAAGACTAACTTCAGTATCAGACAAATTGGTTGAAACTACAGTAAAGAACAGAATTATTAGACACATTGATGAACACGATATGTTGGGGAAGATTCAACATGACTTTTTTAAAGGGAAATCATGCCTCACTGATCTAGTAGCATTCTTTGAAGGGGTTAACAAACATGTGGACAAGAGTGATCCAGTGTACTTGAAGTTTCAGAAAGCTTTGACGTGAACCCTTGCCAAAGGCTCTTGCAGTCATGAGATGAGAGGGAAAGACTTCTCATGGATCAGTAACTGGTTAAAACACATGAAACAAAGGGTAAGAATAAATGGTCAGTTTTCATACTGGAGAGAGGTAAATACTGGGGCCTCCCAAGGATCTGTAGTGGGACCAGTGCTGTTCAACTTACTCATAACTGATCTGGAAAAAGGGGTAAACAGTGAGGTGGCAAAGTTTACAGATGATACAAAATTACTCAATATAGTTAAGTCCAAAGCTGACTGTAAGGGATCTTCCAAAACTGGGTGACTGGGCAACAAAATGGCAGATTAAATTCAGTGTTGATAAATGCAAAGTAATGCACATTGGAAAACATAATCCCAATTATACATGTGAAATGATGGAGTCTAAATTAGTTATTACTGCTCAAGAAAGAGATCTTGAAGTCACTGTGGATAGTTCTCTGAAAACATCTGTTCTTCATCAAGTGATGGTCCCTATATGGATTCCAAACATGGGTGTGCACGTGTGCCATGTGCTGGAGCTGGAACAGTTTTGTAGTAGTGTCCATTGATCCACTCATGTGTCATCCATATGCTCGCATCTGAGGCTATAAGAGGCTGTGTGGGTCGACACCACACCAGTTCCCTCTTACCACTGCACTCTACCGTCGGCTCCACCCCTACCAGACCCATCCTCCGAATCCGGGTGCTCCTCAGAGCCGAATCCCTCCTTTTCATGTACCCAATCTTGCAGCCCGAATCCTAGGAGCTGACCACCATATCCTCCGGCATATGACCCCTACCGGTGAGCTGTGGTTCAGATATCCCGGGGCGCATAGGCTTGGCCCTGCTGGCCTCCCTGGGACCTGTACCAGGACCACAGGGTTCTGCCATGGCATCTTACCAATTATTGCCTGCCCATTTTGTGCCATCCTCTGTTTACAACGAACCTGAGGGGGGAGGGATAGCTCAGTGGTTTGAGCATTGGCCTGCTAAACCCAGGGTTGTGAGTTCAATCCTTGAGGGGGGCATTTAGGGATTTGGGGATTGAGTTGGGGATTGGTCCTGCTTTGAGCGGGGGGTTGGACTGGATGACCTCCTAAGGTCCCTTCCAACCCTAATAATCTATGATTCTATGATCTATGACACAGTGCAGCCGGGACTGCCTGTCCCTCCTGGAGCCTCATCATCGCCGGATGAAGTTCTGATTCCACCTTTCCTCTCCCCTCTTGACGACCAGAAACAATACCAAGACCTGCTTCAGCAAGTGGCTGTAGTCTTCAGCCTCACAGTGGAACAGGTCAAGGACCCACAAAACCAGCTACTGGATATTCTGCAACTGCCAGGACCTTCCCCGACCGCATTCCCCATCCATGAGGCCATCCTGCAACCGGTGCAGTTGGTCAGGCATACACCAGCCTCCTGTGCCCCTACTCCTATGCACGCAGAGAGGCTATACTTTGTCCCATCTAAGGGCATGGACTTCTTTTTCACCCACTCACCCCCCCCAACTTGCTGGTAGTTCACGTGGCGACCAAACGCACTCACCAACAACATCTCAAGTCCACCCCTCTGGACAGAGTGGCAAGAAAGCTGGACCTTTTGTTAGAAAAGTCTACTCTTCTATAGGACTCCAGTTCCATATCGCCAGCTACCAGGCCCTGTTGGCAAAATGCTACTTTCTCAGCTACTCCAGGTTCTTGAAGATTCAGGCTCTTCTACTGCCAGACAAGCAACAAGACTTCCAGATGCTGCTGGATGAAGGGAAACTGATCACCAAGGTGAGTCTCCAGGCAGTCATGGATGCCTCCGACACCATATCACACTCGCTGGCGACAGGCATTGTACTCCAATGAGACTCCTGGGTCCAATCATCTGGGTTCTCTAAGAGTCCATACCACTCTTGAGGACCTCCCCTTTGACAACTAAAAACTTTTCAGTGACAAAACAGATGAATCCCTCCAGTCCCTCGAGGATTCTTGCGCCAAATGCTACACTCTCGCATATCCTTGCCCCTGGAGTCACGGCTCACTTCACAGGGGCGCACGCCACCACATTGGCCTGCCTAAAGGATGTACCCTGGCAGGACATTGGCCGGCCGGCCATGAGGCACTCTGTCCAGATCTTTACTGCTCACTATGCCATCACCCCAGCAGTGGAACTGTCCTACAGACTAACTTCTCGTGAGTCCTCGCACCCACTTCCATGCTGAGCACTGCTTGCTAATTACCCACATTTGGAATCCATATAGGGACCATCACTCAAAGAAGAAGAGGAGGTTACTTACCTATAACTGGAGGTTCTTTGAGATTTGGATTCCAATACCTGCACTCCCTCCCCTCTGCTGCGGACATTACTTAGTGGTAAGAGGGATACGGGAGCCGCATCGACCCGCATGGCCTCTTATAGCCTCAGATGCGTACACACGGACAATGCATGTGCGGGTCAAAGGATGCTACTACAAAACTGTTCTGGCTCCAGCGCATAGCATGCGTGTGCATCCACGTTTAGAATCCAAACAGGGAAAGAACCTGCAATTACAGGAAAGTAACCTTCTACTAAATGTGCAACAGCAGTCAAAAAGGTAACCAAATGTTATGAACCATTAGGAAAGGGATATATAAAATATGAGAGTCAATGTAATGCCACTATATAAATCCATGGTACACCAGTACCTCAAATAGTGCATGCAGTTCTGGTGGTTTCATCTAAAAAAGATGTATTAGAAATGGAAAATGTACAGAGAAGAACAACAAAAATGATTAGGGGTATGGAACAGCTTCCGTATGAGGAGAAATTAAAAAGACTGGGACTGTTCAACTTTGAAAAGAGACAACTAAGAGGGCTTATGATAGAAGTCTATAAAATCATGAACGGTGTGGAGACCGTGAATAAGGAAATGTTATTTACCCCTTCAGATAACACATGAACCAGGAGTCATCCAGTAAAATTGATAGGCAGCAGGTTTAAAACAAACAAAAGGAAGTACTTCTTCACACAAAGCACATTCAACCTGTGGAACTCATTGCCAGGGGATTTTGTGAGGGCCAAAGGTATAACTGGGTTCAAGAAAGAATTAGAGAAGTTTATGGAGGATAGGTTCATCAATGGCTATTAGCTAAGATGGTTAGGGACACAAACCCATGTTCTGGGTGTCCCTAAGCCTCTGACTGTCAGATTGGATGACAGGAGATGGATTACTTGATGATTGCCCAGTTCTGTTCATTCCTTTTGAAGCATCTGTCATTGGCCACTGTCAGAAGACAGGATACTGGGCTAGATGGACCATTGATCTGACCCATTATGGTTCTTATGTTTTTTATCTGTAAATCAGGGATATATTCTCTGAGCTGCATGGAGCTGTGGATTCTAATTTTTTACATCACTTGCTCTGCCTACTTGGTTTCACTTGTGATTCTCTTACTCTTCCTTGTACCACATACTTTCCCCTGTAGTTTACGGTTGCTGTGCTGTCTCCTTGTCTTCCTCGTTTACTCACTCACTGCAGTTACTGTAACTACTGCCACATTCTATCCACCTCACATGGCATAAATTTGTGAAGGATGTGTGATCCTCATTGTCCTCTTTGCATGCAGGGTAACCTCACCCATCCAGAGCTGTCAGTTGCAGTGGAGATGCTGTCGTCTGTGGCTCTGATTAACAGGGCGTTGGATTCAGGGGATGTGAACACAATTTGGAAACAACTGAGCAGTCCAGTTACAGGGCTCACTAACATTGAAGATGAGAACTCCCAGAGGTGGGTACATGTGACAGATGGATGTGGCCTCTATCAGTGCGCCAAATATTCCCTATATTATTATTATTATTATTATTATTCTCCTGACATTTCATTTTTTTCTTTTACCCTTTAATGCTATCTTTCCAAATTGTTAATCATGACATTTAGTCGCTGGTGCCCCTTTTGCCTGGTCCCATGAGCTTGCTCTCTTGCACACTGTCTCTTATGCCACCCCTTCATATTAATCATACTCACGTACAGTCTCTTGAAGTCTCTTCCCAGACTTCACATTAGTGCTGTATTCAGGTTCTTTTATGCTGTTGCTGATGCCACCCCCCCTTCACATGAAGTCCATGCTCAGTCTTCACACTGGTCTTGGACTCACTGTCTTGCATGCAGTCTCTGTGGCGCCCTGCCAGTTGCATTGATCTGGGCTCTTGTGAGCTGCTTTGGTATGTCTCCCCTTCCCCTTTTTGCATTTGTTCCAGGTTTATCTTGCATGTTAGTTCTGGACACGGTCATTAGGCTCACGTGCTAAATTGCCCTCTTAGGCCCACATGATGTCTCTTATTGTTTCTCTTGTGTATGGCAGATACATCGATGATTTGATGAAGCTGAAAGCTCAGGCACGTACAGGAGGGAATGAGTTTATCACATGGAATGATATCCAGTCATGTGTGGACCGTGTGAACATAGTGGTGCATGAGGAGCACGAGAGTAAGTGCTTCCACTTCATTCCTACTAGAGTGACCTGGATTCTAAGAAATGCCAAAACCAGATTCACATTCACTGGGATGGGGGTAGCACTATTAACGAGGTAGCTGGAGGTCTAGCTGGCACATGGTGAGAGACCTTGGCAGTTGGTGTCTTTCTAGCATTAGGAGATGCCTATATGGTGCACATAAAAAGAGCTCATTTTATCTGTGAGTAAATTCAATGCTCTCTGATAATGAAGTGTTAACAGCACGACTGCTGACGAAGAGAACAAGTATAGGCATTTCCATATACCATATGTCAAATGCAACATCTTTACCTAGATAGACAGATAAAGTCCTGGGACCAGACTCTGCAATGTGATGGGATGTGAGCATAGGTTTACCTTTCAGTCTCTGATCCAGTTTTGTTGTAGGTCTATTCAATATGTCTTTACTTCTTGGCACAAGTACTAGACATGCTAAATAGGTTCTCATGTTCTTAGGAAAATTGACAGGGGGCAGAGGGTAGCAGAAATGCATCCCAATCTGGTAACTCCTTGTTAATAGCACTAGTTAGAGCCAGCCAAACTGTCAAAACGGACCCCTTTACACCTCTGTTGAAGACATTCAATCCTGACTTGCAGCCTGTGAGGGGGCATGCATATCTCACACTGGGCCTGAAGGGATTAATCTCACACTATGGGTGGAGGAAGTTCTGCCCCTCAGACTGTAGGCGGCATGCTCCAAATGCTATGCTAGTATAAAAGAGAGCAGCCCGGCTCAGTCTGAGCTGGCTGCCGGAGAGGAAGGATCTTTGGTGGAGGCTCCCCCTGAAGAGCTATCACAGCCCTTCCCTGTGGGAGCTGGAGATCCGTGGCCATCGAAGTCCAAGAGAGTTACCTGCCCAGAGGAGCCCAGAGACCCCGATGCCCCACGGACTGCAGCTTCAGGAAGTGCGGTAGGAAGTGACCTAGGGAGGGTGGGAGAGAGTGGTATCTCCCATCTGTATGAGGTCAGCGTCTTTTGGTGGGATTCCCCGCTGACCTAGTGGTGGACCACTCCTCCCTGTTAGAGCCCTGGGTCAGGGCCAGGTGGAGTTGGGTGGGCTTGGGCCGCCACCCTCTCCCTTCCTCCCTCTCCCCCCGCCCCGGTGATGGCCCCCCAGGTACTGGCCGCTAGGGCATACTGTCCTGTGTCTGAAGGCTGCCATTTTAACTCTCGCCGCTCAGCCACGATATTGACTCTGGCTGCCAGACCACAATGCCCTGTACCTGAGGGCTGCCACTTAGACCCTGCCCGTCAGATCTCATCATGGCGAGACCTGAGACAGCCTGGTAGGCTGTAACCGCAGTACTAGCACACCCCCTGCCCACCCCAACAAGGGATGGGGTGTGCATACACCACTACACAGCCCCTGCTGCTATTCCAGTTCTGGCCCTTCTCCTCCTCCTCCCCCACCCCACCAGTTCTGTGAGTGCATCTCACCACTTACTCCAATCGTAGGCTCCCCATATACACAGCTGTGCTGAGGCCCTTTTGATCCTGATCTTAAAACACTAAGAGAACATGCTGTTTATTGGCTCATGGACTTAGTGGACTAGGAGGTCTCTTCCTTTTCTAAAATCTGTTCCATTACAAATGTACCTTAGGACTCTGACCATTCCAAAAGTATATAATCAAAATTAGTCAGTTTACTGGGTATGGGGGAGCTGCTAGGGAGGAGGAGGGGCTGGATTGGATCTCTCGTTAAAGCCAAGTCATGGAAATAACCTTGGCCACATAATGATTCTAGGTAAGTTCTGAGCCACCCTTGAGCAGAGACCGAAAATGATGTTAAACTATGCTATGCTATGCTATGCTGCAAGAGTGTTTTTTTGATGTGGACAAATGAAGTCTTGTAGAAGAGATACTGAACTCATTTCATATTACCCAAGCTAGAGTCTAAACTTGGGTCACTGGTAGGAGTATAGGCACAGATGTGGTGTAGTTAATGCTGTGCTGTAGATTGATACTTTAGACACACATTTTCAAAAATATTCACTGATGGGGGTGGTGGTACCCATTTTGAGACACACAGGACCTGATTTTCAAGGGATTAAGCACACCCACTGTTATCAGCTGAAGTTGTAAATTTTGCATGCTCAACACCTCTGAAAATTAGGCCTGAGATGTCTCAAGTTAGGTACACAGTTCTTCGAGTGCTTGCTCATGTCCATTCCATGTCAGGTGTGTGTGCTCACCACCTGCACTGGTGCTGAAAGCTTTCCCCCCAGTGGTATCTGTAGGGCTGGCTCTGGCGCCCTCTGCGTATGCACCAGCATAAGAGGCGCCGCCCCCTCCCCGCTTCAGTTCCTTTTTACCGCTAGTGATGGTGTTGGAACATCTCCTTGCTTCGGCAAGCAATCATACCAGTGATTTATCTTTGAAAACTCATGGCGATCAGGGGAGGTCCCGGATGACTGGAAAAAGGCTAATGTAGTGCCTATCTTTAAAAAAGGGAAGGAGGAGGATCCGGGGAACTACAGGCCAGTCAGCCTCACCTCAGTCCCTGGAAAAATCATGGAGCAGGTCCTCAAGGAATCAATTCTGAAGCACTTAGAGGAGAGGAAAGTGATCAGGAACAGTCAGCATGGATTCACTAAGGGCAAGTCATGCCTGACTAACCTAATTGCCTTTTATGAGGAGATAACTGGGTCTGTGGAAGAGGGGAAAGCAGTGGACGTGTTATTCCTTGACTTTAGCAAAGCTTTTGATGCAGTCTCCCACAGTATTCTTGCCAGCAAGTTAAAGAAGTATGGGCTGGATGAATGGACTATAAGGTGGATAGAAAGCTGGCTAGATTGTCGGGCTCAACAGGTAGTGATCAATGGCTCCATATCTAGTTGGCAGCCGGTATCGAGCGGAGTGCCCCAACGGTCCTGGGGCCGGTTTTGTTCAATATCTTCATCAATGATCTGGAGGATGGTGTGGACTGCACCTACAGCAAGTTTGCAGATGACACTAAACTGGGAGGAGTGGTTGATAGGCTGGAGGGTAGGGATAGGATACAGAGGGACCTAGACAAATTAAAGGATTGGGCCAAAAGAAATTTGATGAGGTTCAACAAGGACAAATGCAGAGTCCTGCACTTAGGACGGAAGAATCCCATGCACTGCTACAGACTAGGGACCGAATGGCTATGCAGCAGTTCTGCAGAAAAGGACCTAGGGGTTACAGTGGACGAGAAGCTGGATATGAGTCAACAGTGTGCCCTTGTTGCCAAGAAGGGTAACGGCATTTGGGGCTGTATAAGTAGGGGCATTGCCAGCAGATCGAGAGATGTGATCATTCCCCTCTATTCGACATTGGTGAGGCCTCATCTGGAGTACTGTGTCCAGTTTTGGGCCCCACACTACAAGAAAGATGTGGAAAAATTGGAAAGAGTCCAGTGGAGGGCAACAAAAATGATTAGGGGGCTGGAGCACATGACTTACGAGGAGAGGCTGAGGGAGCTGGGATTGTTTAGTCTGCAGAAGAGAAGAATGAGGGGGGATTTGATAGCTGCTTTCAACTACCTGTTCTCAGCGGTACCAGATGACAGAACAAGGAGTAATGGTTCTCAAGTTGCAGTGGGGGAGGTTTAGGTTGGATATTAGGAAAAACTTTTTCACTAGAAGGGTGATGAAGCACTGGAATGGGTTACCTAGGGAGGTGGTGGAATCTCCTTCCTCAGAGGTTTTTAAGGTCAGGCTTGAGGTCCCTTCCAACCCAGATATTCTATGATTCTTCTAACTCTTTAGTGTATATAGTTAGAGTATTCGTAGTTTAGGTAGTTAGTTAGTTAAGCACTACTTAATTGTAGTGAGGCAGTCCCCTATGAACTTTACCCAGGGACGGGGCATGACCCAATCCTCAAGCCTTGTGACCAGTATGAAAAGCCCATGCCAGTTAGTGACCCCCATCAAAGCTGTTTGAAGTGCTTAAGGGTGTCCCATGTACGCAACAAGTAGCATATCTGCAAGAGCTTCAAATCGTGTACAAAGAAGGAGCAGGACATTAGACTCCGAGCACTCCTCATGGAGTCAGCCCTCGCACTGGCCTATGAGCCAGCCCACTCTGACCTGGCATTGATGAAAAGCACCCCTCCGACGCCAGTCTCCTTCTGGCACTGATCTCCATCCCTGGTGCTGTCCAAGAGGCATAAGAAGCACGGGAGAGGCCACTCCCCAGTGTCTCACAAGGGCAAGGGGAAAGTTATAGGTGAACAAGAACCTGCGAGAGGTACCTTGTCTTTTCTAGAGAATGGCCAAGCAGCAGACTTGCTAGATAAGCTCCCAAGCCCACTTCAGGATCTACCTCTTGCCCTGTGTAGTGGCAGAGGTGCCTGTGTCCTCACGGTGCCGACTACACCTGAGGCCTTTCAAAAGGCCAAGGACATTCTGGCAGATCCACTTGCGGAAAAGTCCCGGCAACCCCCGCCCGCAGTGGCAATCCCAGCTAGGGGCAAGCCTGCATTGGGATCTGTGCAGCAATCCCCATCTCTGCGGTGCCACTCCCCGGCACCATCCCGGTCACCAGGTTAATGTAGGTGATCCCCGGAGCCATGTTACCAGCCAGTGGAGTCTTGTGGCCATTCCATGAGTTCCAGGCACCGGTCCCCAGGACCCTCGACAACGGTCCCTGAGCCCCCAGCACCACTCACCGGACTGTCACCACCGACCCCTTGAGGCACAAGCCTGGTCCCAGGACGCCCGGCATCGGTCTCCAGAGTGTCACTGCTGCTCTCCACCCGGTGCTGATCCCCAGAACTCCAGAGCCAGTCCCCGAGAACTCGATGGCAATCCCCGGAGCCTTGATGCCAGTCAACAGATCCTAGGTGCTGGTCTTTGCAATCCCACGCAGTCACCAGAGCCGCGATACTGATCCGCGGACTCGGATCGCTGATCCCCGGATTAATGCTGCCGGTCACCCGAGCACCATTGCTGGTTCCCAGCCGCCTTGCACTGCTCTACAGAACGCCGGCACTGTTCTCCGCAGGCTAAG